TTTTTTTGTGATAAGAAAATACATAAAAAATTGTAATACAAAAACAACAATTACGGTATTGATATACATAATATATATACACATTATATATATGTAAACGAAAATGATAAACAATGATACATATTAACATGAGAAAGTTGTTATAAACAAAAGCAAAAGCTATCAAGAACATGATAAAACGGTAAATGATAGAAAAGAAAAGAAGAAAAACGAGTTACACACACCTACACACAATTTTTCCGCTGTTATTGTATAGTAAAGAAAAATATTATNTATATAATTCAATCTATATTAACAATTCGTTATTCACTATCCATATTGGGCATACTATTGCTGCAGCTGAGCTATAGAACTTAGTATTTGACTCTAAAAAATTTAAAAGATTCACTAGCTTGTTTCTAGCACTGTTACTCTGGCCAGACCCCAGAGGCTGATGTGTTCATATTGGGAAAACTAATATAACTGTTTAATCTGACTTGGCAGAAAAAGTTTTAAAAAATGCCTTTTAAGATTGCATTTCTATTAAAATATTCCAATACCCGCCTTGTTGTCCATCAACTGATCTGATGATCTGATCTGATATTGGATCTGAATATTATAAATCTGTAATGTTCAGCGCGTGGGAAATCGGATTGTATTTCATACAGTTTTAGAGCTAGAAAATAACATACTTGTTTTGCCTTACATTATCCCTTTTTCATACCCTTGGAAATTGTAGTGCATATCATAAAAACATATGTTATGATAGAAAAAGAGTCGAAGTCTGAACCTCGATCAATAGGGAATTAAAATTGATTCATTTTATATGGCCCAGATTTGAAACTTACCTTCACAAATGAAATACTTATACTGTTAAATAAAAAGACTGGATTTGGTTTTCGTTTTTCATTATTTTCTTGCCTTTATACATATATATTTTTTCTGTTCTTTCTCAGCGTTTACATGGTTTCTCTTTACTGTTTACTGTCGGTTCCAATTGTACAAACTAAGTTTCGTGTATATGTAGAGTTAATACAATATATATAGGATATATATATATATATACAG